CCCCCCCCATCCTGCCCCGCCAGCGAGGGGTGAGCAGCGTGAGGCAAGACAACTATTTGCTCCCCCCTCCCCCCGGGTGGTCGTGGGTGTTGCCGCGTGGCAGCTTGCTGTGGATCTTGAAAACCCCCCTGGCTAGGGGGCTGGACTACAGTGACATCTGGGTGGCTGATCAAGATCTCAGCCCACCCCATATTTTTTTATTGCAGTGGCATCAGGCCAGCCGCATCTTGAAGGTGAAGATCCTGTGGATCTTGGTAGTGCTCTGCTCTTGGCCACCCAAGAGCTTGGTATCACCATCCTACCCACTAACCGACTCTCCCCCAACCCCTTTTCTCTCCCCCCCCCATCATCTAATCATCCTTTCTAACCCTACCACTACTCCCTCCTCCAACCTCCCTCTTCACTCGTCTCCCACAACCTTTTTTATTTTCTCTCCTCCCCACTCACCATCTTCTACTAATCTCCTTTACTCCTCTCCAACTTTTCCATATCCTTCTCTCCCATTCTACCACCCTCCTCTCCCTCTCCCCCCTCCAACTACAACCCCATCATCTCCCACATCCCCACTTCACTCTTTCTCTCTCTCTCATCTATTTCTTTCTTTCTTCATCACTCTTTCATCCCCCTCCCCCCCAATTTCAAATTTTTCTGTTTTTTTTCCTTCTTTTGTCTTTCTCTTTGATTTAAATCTCCTCTTGTTTTGCAAAAATTCGAATTATCTTATTCCTCACCTTCTTTTCTCATTTTCTGATTTATTTTATTTTATTTTTTATTTATTCTAAAAATTTGATGTTCTTTGCGGCACCCTCAAATCTGATTAGGACTCGGTCAATTTTGTTTTCCGCACACACTTTAACCCCCTAGGGGTAACGAAGTGCTGCAAAAATTTTCTATTTTTTTTTATTTTTTTTTTCATACTTAGTTTTTTTCAACACATTTTGATTCGTTGAGGGTAGCGAAGTGCTGGCAAAATCTTCCCACTTTACTTAGCCTTTCTTCTTGACGGCACACTTCGACCCCATGGGGGTAACGAAATGCAACCGAAATTTTTAAAAAATCTGACATTTAGTTTTTCTTCACCTCCTCATCGACTTATTTATTTATTTATTTATTTTTTTGAAAATTCTAATTTGCGGCATTGTAAGATTTAGTGTGCTTCTCTTAGTCTCTGCTTCCTTTTTGCACGTTTGTGACCCTATTGGGGTAGAAAAATGCTACCAAAAATTTCAAAAAAAAAAATATATTATTTATCTTCTCACCTTTTACTTATTTCTTTCTTTCTTTATGTTTATTATTTATTTTCATTTTTTTAATCTCGAACTTTCATTATTAATTTATTTTTCTTTCCCCCTCCCCTCTATGTTCGTCATTTTTTTATTTTCTTCGCTTCATTAAGTTACCGCCACTCAACCCTAATCTCCCCTCAGTCTCGTTAGGGTTTTCTTAGAGTTTTTCTGGGGTTTAGGGTTTCCCTACCCACTCACCCACCTTTTTCGGCCCCCTTCGGGCACCCTGGACCCGAACGGTTCCTCCCCTTTTGCTCGGATTGGCGCTTTCGTCTCACAAGCGACCCGCATAATTCGAGGCAAGCCGACCAACACCTACTCACTTAGTGCCCGCGGCCCCGTTCCTCTTACCGGTGGGCCTCTTTCTCCATACACTCCGGTAAGATCTACCTCCCTTTCCCTTCCAGCCATGGAAGGGCATACATCAGAGGAGACCGTTGCGGCGCCATCTACCTTTCAGGCGTCCATGCAGCGAGCGGTCCAGACTTCTATGGATCTTGAGACCGTCCTTGTGGCCCTGGTTGCACCCATGCAAGCGCAACTCAACGAGCTCGCCCTTGATGTCAACCGCCTCAAGGATTCTCCTCACCGCTCCGCCCAGCACTCCCACACCCCATCCCCTACCCGCTCACCGGTCCGTTCCCCAAGACTCCGGGGACACGGACCTGGTGGTTCTTCCTCCCCTGCGGCTCAGGGCTAACACTCCCCCTCAGCAGTGGTGAGTGCCACTAACACTCTGACCACCCCCTCTGTTGCAAAAGTCCTCTCGGCCCCTATCGCCCCTGCCGTCTCTGCCGCTGTCGCATGTACTGCGGTCCAGAGACCATCATCTGCGGCGATTCGGGCCCGATAGTTTCATCGACACGTTCCGGTGCTGCTTCCCAGCTTCCTGCATCTGTTGCGGCACTACGGTTCCGCCCACTCCTCCCCGCCTTCGTCCCCTCTCTCCCCTGCGGCTCAAACCCAACACTCCGCCTCAGCATTGGTGAGTGCCGCTAACGCTCTGACCACCCCATCTATTGCGGAAGTCCTCCCGGCCTTTGTCGCCCCTGCCGTCTCTGCCGCTGTCGCAGGTACTACGGTTCAGAGACCATCATCTGCGACGATTCTGGCCCGATAGTTTCATCGAAACATTCCGGTGCTGCTTCCCAAATTCCTGAATCTGTTGCGGCACTACGGTTCCGCCCACTCCTCCCCGCCTTCGTCCCCTCTCTCCCATAGCAGGGCTCCCCCTAGTGTGGGATTCCCCCTCCCGCTGGGAGAACCCCTCCGCCTCCTTCACCCTCGACCCCGCGCACCCAGCGAGTGATTGCTTTGCAGGCCTCCATTGCGAAGGTTGAGACGAAGATCCTTGCCCTGAGACAACCTTACCCTTCTTCTTCTTCTACCACTCCTTCGGCCCCCATGATGTCAACTCATTTCCCTCTACCTGCTCCTCAACCTCTCCCCTCCTGCCTAACTGTTCCGGGACAGCTGCCCGCGACCGTTGCTTCCAAATCAGCTTGTCTATCCGCCAGTGGCCACGGTCCACAGCCTTCCCCCACCCCTGCCCCTGCAGCGGCTCCGACTTTCGCCGCTGCATTGCAAGCGCCGCGGTCTCTCTCCCCCCACGATCAGCACAACGGGCATCCTCCTGTCCGCACCACGGACATTCCCGATTATGATGGAACATCCCGTGTCTCTCGTGGTTGCAAATAGCAACGTGCACACTCTCACTAACGACCACCCGTCAGGAGTTGTGGTGCGACGTGCTCGCAACCAAATTGTGAGGCAGCCCTTCCACTGTGTGGGAGGACCATTATACCCATTGCCTCCACGTCAGTGAGGTTCCCACTCTTGTAGACTTTGCGGCCTTCCTCCAGGACTGCTTTGGCGCTTGCCACGACGCGACTAACCCCTTAGACCGCGTCACCCAGACC